TGGCGCCTCGGGGCAGTGGGAGGGTGGGCTGGGGAGCCCCAAGCCAGCCGCTTGGCCAGGAAGGCCCATGAGGAAGGGGTGCGGCCACCCCGAGTGGGGTCGGGTTAGAGGGTTTTATGTGGGGGGCTTGGGCTCCTTGGTGGGGGCAGGGCAGGGGTGGGTCCTGGGGCAGAGTTGGGGGGCCCTCAGGGATGTCGGGAGGTGGGGAGCCCTGCTCTGTGGGATCTGGCCGCTGAGCGAGTCGCCCAGTGGGGAGGGGGCGCACATCTGGCCGCAGCCCTGGGCAGACTTTATACGTTGCAATTAGAGCTCTTGGCCCTTCTAGTTAACCAGAGCAGGGTAGATTAGAGGGCATCTGTATGGAACCGGGACAGATCTGCCTAAATCACCAGTCTGGGAGACCAGAATGATTTTCCCCGCGAACACTCGCTGTTCCCTTGTTTGACCCTCTCTGCGTCTCAGAGGCGTCTGTCGATGTGGCTCCTAGAAAACGCCGTGTATTCTAAACCCGCGTTGCTGCGGGCGTACGTTTCCCCACGTTAGGGGGCTCAGCGCTGGTTGTTGGAGCCTGGTTGGCTGCGGGGTTAGCTGCCGTGTCCGCCTGGCTGAGGCCGCACCCCAGGGGACGGGGAGGCTGCACCCCGGGGGCTCTGGGCGCCGCCCTGGACCCCACGGGAGCCGGGCTGCAGCTTCACAGGCTGTTTTACCTTTACAGAAAAAAAATTAACCCAATTTCAAGTTTTGGGAGACTATTTGGTTTCAGCCCCACGTCCGCCTGGGCCAGCGCTGCTCCGGCTAAGGAGGACGCGTCTCCACGAACCTGAACGGGCCTCATAGGGCTGGAGCAAACTCTCAGCACCAAATGCGGTCTGGGGGCCGTCAGCGGCTCGTCGGGGGGACGTGGTCTGTCCAGTGCTCGATATTTCATTTCTTATTAAAATGAGCTCGAGCTCTGCTGCCCCTGGGCGAGGTCTGGTCAAGGGGCTCCCGGACGAGTCTGTCCGACTCAGCAGATGACCCAGCGGGGGCGACTTTCGGGCCTGTCGTGGATGGGGGCCCAGTCCCCTCCCTCTGCTGTGGCCTGGGGTGGCAGCCGGTCTGTGTGGACCCTCCCACCGTGCCCTGTGAGGGCCCTGGACAAGCTCTGTGGCGGAGGGACCTGCGTCCAGCGGTGTCCCCGACACTCTGCCACCTGGGGCCCGCTGGGCCAGGGCATCTGGGGCGTCAGGATGCGCTTGGGGGTGACCCTGCGGGCTCTGCAGCCCCCGGGAGACGAGGAGAGATGTGGGGCCTCGCCTGACCCTGCCAGGAGGGAACGACCAGGCCGCGGGCCACGGGGGCGGAGCAGCTGCGCAGCCGGCGGGCCATGCGTCAAGCGTCGGCGAGGAGGGGCTCATGTCCGCACTTACAGCCTGTCCTCCCCGCAGGAGCTGCCCAGCAGGGACCCCAAGGAGGGGCCTCTCCGGCAGGACCAGTGTCCCCTGGAGGGTAAGTGCCTCTTCCCCGAGCCTCCCGGACGGGCCCGTGCCAGGCACAGCCAGGAAGGGCAGGCCGTGCCCAGCCCTGCCCGTCAGACGCACTTAACCCCTTGGTGCACAGTCCCCCCCGGGGTCCCCTCGGGGTCCGCACGGACAGGCGCTTGGATCGGCCGAGCAGGGAGCAGAGGCCCCGTCTCGGCGGCTGAGCCCCAAGTGTGTGTTACGTTTGTGCACTGGAGTGTCCGGGAGCCCGTGTGAGGTGACCTGCGACCCCTCGGTCAGGTGTGGGTCGGAGGACGGGAGAGACGGTGGCCCGGCCTGAGCACTGCCACGCACTGCGCCGTGGTGGCGCCAGGCCTCGCCGTGGGGCGTCCCAGCCCAGGCGCAGACAAGCACCTGCCGCAGGTGCCGAGCTGGGGACGTGGCTTGGGAGGGCTGCAGGCGCTGCCTGTCCGTCATGGCCGGAGAGGCTGCGCGGGAGGCCACTGCGCCGACGCGCTCAGTGCGCGGGTGACCTGCGCAGACTGTGGAGTGGGGGCCGTGCGGAGGGAAAGGGAGGCGGAGGGCCGGGACCACCCTCCGGGGCCCCAGGGGGCTCCCTGCATGCTGCGCTCTGTGGCGTCGGCGGCACCTAAGACCCCAGGGCCGGTGTGAGGCACTGTGGGCTGGGGGGCCGGAGGGGGCTCCCGGCCATGGCCAGCCCGGGGGTGGGGCTCCCTGCCCTCGCATGGCTCCTCGACACCCCTCGTTCCGCAAGGATGGGCTCTCGGCCCCGGCCGTCCGGGAGGGATCACGGCTCAGCGCAGGGAGGGCGGCGAAGCCCTGGGGCCGGCCACATCCTGCCGCGTGCCCTCTGCCCCTGCACCTCCCCTCTCGCCCCTGCAGTGGCACTAACCCCGGAGAAGGCCGAGGGCCGGGAGGGCCCCGCACAGCTCTTCGGTGCGGAGGATGGCGAGAGGGCGGCCGCCTGCGAGGGCCCACGAGGACTGGGCAGGAAGCGCCTGCACATCGGCGTAGGTCTTCGCCCCTCACCCTCCCGCCAGCTCCCCTGGGTGGGCGGGCGGGCGTGTGTTGGCTCCGCAGTTCGAAGCCAGTTCGGGGCCTTAAATCGAGACCCGGACGTGCCGCCCATCAGCCGCATGGGGCACGCGGGATCTCGCCGTGAGTTTGGCCGGAACTGGCCTGTGTGGCGCTAAATCATCTGAGGAACCTTCCCCACCTTGGCACGTGCGGCGAAGCGGGACGACACCAAAGCCGACCTTCCGGCTGCCCCGCGTCCCCGCCCCACAGAGGCAGAGCCGCGGGAGGTCCCGCTTTCCCGCCGGGCCCAGGGAGGTCTCGGGTTTATGTCGCGATTTCTGGAGCCAACAGCTCCTGGCAGTCGGCGTGGCCTTGTCTCCTGGGTGACGCTGAGCACCAGCATGAGCCGGGCGGGTGTCACGCTGGGGAAACTGAGTCACAGGCACACAGCCAGGTCCCCACCAGGAGGGAGGAGCGAGGTGAGGACAGAGTCTGCAGAGCCCAGGGCTCCGGCCTCAGCCATGTGTCCGCCCTCTCCCAGCCACAAACTGGAAACCGAGGCCATCCCTGAGCCGTGTCCGCGGGAGACCCCTTGGCAAGGCCCCCGGACGCTGCCTTCTGTGGAGTCAAGGGTCACCCGGGTGATGCATGTGGCGGCTGAGGGCCCCACTGACCCCCTGAGGCCCCGCCCTGTGTGCGCCCCCAGGCCGTCCGGTGTGACGTCTCGGTGCAGGAGGACGACCGCCAGGAGTGGACGTTCACGCTCTACGACTTCGACAACAGCGGGAAGGTCACCAGAGAGGTAGCGCCGTGTGTGCGGCCGTCCGTCCGTAGGAGGGGCGGCTCAGGGCCAGGCCTCCCAGGTCTGGGGTCAGGCAGGCTCCGTGCACAGACAGACGTGGCCGTCCCCAGATGGGGACGCAGAGAGGGCAGTGTGGGCAGGACCCCCGACCCGGTCCTCACGCGGCTGGAGGGTCTGCCTGAGTGCTGCAGGGTGTTCCAAAGGCAGGACCACCCTTGGGCCACCAGAGGCGCAGGCAGGACTGTCTTTGGAGGTGCGACCCCCCCCGCTCAGATATGTGTCTGTGTCCGTTTCTGAGGTCGGTGTGGGATGCGGAGTGGACGGGGCAGGGTGGCCCGGGGGTGGGGCGTCTTGGAGGGAGGGTGGGTACGGTCCCCTCTGAGGCTACTGTGACGCCGGTGCCACCAGGACGTGTCCAGCCTGATGCACACCATCTACGAGGTCGTCGACGCCTCCATCAACCACTCCTCGGGCGGCAGCAAGACCCTCCGCGTGAAGCTGAGCGTCAGCCCCGAGCCCTCCGGCAAGAGGAAGGACGGCCCTCCCGCCGGCCAGGGTGAGTGAGGTCTGGCCCTCGCCGAGGGGCAGATGAGCGGGCAGAGGGGGCGAGCGAGGGGCTTCACACGAGGACCCTCTTGCAGACCGGGAGCCCACGCGCTGCAGGGCGGAGGCCGAGCCCGCCGAGGACCCCCGGGTGGCCGACAGGAGGCTGTCCGCCCATGTCAGGTGAGGAGCTGGGCCCGTGGCGGGCAGTCCGTTCCCCTGCCAGCCCCACATGCCGCCGACGTCCTCTCAGCGGGCCCGGGGTGGGCACCTGGGCACTGGAGCTCCGGGCACTACTGGCCGGGGTGAGGGCCCCGCCCAGTGGCCGGTGCTCCGGCCGAGCTGAGCGCCGCGTGTGTCTGAGACGGGCCTGGGCGGCCGTGGCTGGGTCGGCCCGGACTGCGGTCTGGACTCGCCCTGGCTCCGTACGGCCCTGCTCACCAGCTTTGGAGCCCACAGCGCCGGGTGTGGCGGGGGCAGCAGCCACCGTGGTCCCCACATGGCAACCACGAACATCACAGTGCGAGTCTGAGGCACATGGCGTGTAACGATGAGCCTGGGGACCTGGCGGGGACGCCCACAACCTTTCCTCTGGACAGCGTCCAGCCACGTCCACGCCCCGCGGGCCCGTCCTCCCGCCCTGTTGGGGACGTGGCGCTGGCCGGAGCTCCCTGGGACCCCCCGTGCCACCTGCTGCGGGTGTCCCACGGTCAGAGGGGCGCTGCTCGGGCCGCGGGCCGGCGGTCAGGCTGCCCTGTGCTCCCTACAGGAGGGCCAGCGCCGACCCCCAGCCCTGCGCGGTGCGGGGGCCCTGCTGCGTGGACGAGAACACGGAGCGCAGGAACCACTACCTGGACCTCGCCGGGATTGAGAACTACACGTCCAAGTTTGGCCCCGGTAGGTCCCAGAGGCCACCCCGGGCACCAGGCCCTGGCGAGGGCGCCTCACGGGGTGCTGGGGGTTCTGCAGCCTTGAGCCTGGGGGGCCTCCCCGCCCGGCACCCGGCTCCCTCCACACACCCAGACGCCACCTGTAGGCGCCTCCCACAGCAAGGCGAGCGCCCGTCCAGGTGTGGGGGCGCAGGGGGTTACCTGGACCGAAGATGGAAGACCGTGCTTGGGGTGAGAAGACGACATCTTAGGAGAGAATTGCAGCTCAGTCACAAGAGGCGTCACCAGCCGCGTGGCCGCCAGCCTGTCCGGTGCCTGCCCGGTGCAGTGGAGACTTTACAGGGCCGAGCCAGCTGTCCCCCAAGGCTGGTGGCCAGGGCCCCTCGCTGTCCCCGTTAGGAGCCCACACAGCGCAGGAGGGGTCGGCGCAAGCAATTCAGACATTTTTAAAATGTCTTCAGGAAGCTTATTCAGGCTGCTTGAAACGCCTCGGGCCAAGGGCGCAGGTGCTGGAGCAGCGGCGGGGTGGGGTCTCTGCGCATGGGGGTCGCGCTGCGCACACACTCCGGCCTCCTGGCGAGCTCCATGTCCTGAAGCGCTCACGCTGCGTGTTGTGGAGACGGCAGCCCTGGGTCCTTCTGCCGTCTGTTTTACGAGCAGAGTTTGGGGGAGCGAGTTCTGGGGGCTCCTTCGCTGGAGCATTTCCTGACACGGGGCGACTGTCTGCCCCGGCCCCCCAGGCAGGGTCCTGGCCCTCCCTGACAGCAGCCCCACTTACAGGACCCACCCTGGGGCCAGGGGTCTGCCTTCAAGGGAGCCGGGCAGAGCCAGGCAGCGGGTCACCTGTTTCCTGTGGGTGACAGCAGAGGTCCTCTGGAATGGAGCCGCCCTGGAGCCCGCTCCCGGCCGGAGCCTGGGCACGTGGCCGTCTGCACTGCCCTCCCCGCGCGGCCCTTGGTGACACGTGACTTTTGCAAAGAGGGGACAGAAACCTAACCCGTGTTTCCAAGCCCACACTCCGGGGCCTCACGCTCTGTCCCCTGCCCACAGGGTCCCCTCTGGCGCCGGCCAGGCAGGAGCACCACGCCAAGGCTGCACACCCGCAGAGCAGGTCCCGCTCCCAGGAGCCAGACACCCACGTCCTGCAGCACCGCAGGTCCCAGGTGCTGGCCGACCACGCCGCACTGGCCGCTGAGCCTGCCCGGGCCCTGGATACGCAGCCCCGGCCGAAGGGGCAGGAGAAGCTGCTGCTCAGGTCCCCCAAGGGCACAGGGAAGCCGCCCGGGCTGCCCGGCGGCAGCAAGCCCAGCAGAGCCTCCGGCCACTACCTGCCGGCCCAGGCCCCGCCGGACGCCCACCACCCCCCGCAGCCCCCGCCCTACGGCCACAAGCGGTACCGGCAGAAGGGCAGGGAGGGCCACTCGCCGCTCAAGGCCGCGCACGGCCAGCCCGGCGCCGTGGAGCACGAGGTGGTGCGGGACCTGCCGCCCGTGCTGGCGGGCGAGGGCCACGTGCTGCCCGTGGTCCAGAGGCACGAGCACCACCACGAGCACCACCACCACCACCACCACCACCACCACCTGCACCCCCAGCCCTGCTAGGCCTCCCCACCGGGCTTCCGGGCACCTGCCCGGCGGCAGATGTGGGCAGGGAGGCGGCGCCGGGAGGGACGCGGGGGCACTGCTCCCTCTCCCCGGGGCTGATTCCCAAGTGAGCACCGGAGCACGGGAGGGAGTCTCCGCTTAGACGCTCTTGGCGAGTTTTTCTCAAAGTGCCTCCAACCCCGGGTGCTGCGGCCGTTCCGGCACGGGGCGCGGCGGGGCCTGCAGCTAGTGAACGGCGCAGCCTTTTGTGTCATTCACCCATCGCGAAGTCACAGTGCTTGGGTAGCAGCTCTTCCTTGGCGTGCGGAGCCCTCAGCTGGACTGGGCCACCAGGACTCACAGCGGGAGACGGGCGGCCAAGGGAATTGTCCGGAAATGCCGGAGACGAGGCCGGGGGAGCGGCTGGGCCGGCAGACCCTGGTGTCACGGGTGGCGACAGTGGTCGGCGGTGGTGGGGCGGGGGGCGGGACTGGGGTGAGCGCGGAGCACGCGCAGGCTCAGGTGGGAGCCAGCTCCCCGACCTCTCACCCCGGGGGTCCCTCGTTGCTGAGGGCTACACCGCCGCGAGCTCCACCGAAGGGGGGACCAGTGCGGCCCCGTCCGCTGAGCCAAGCAGGTGGGGTTTCTGGCGCCGTGATGTGTGCGGGTGACTTCGCGCTGCCTCCTGGCGCTGCTTTTAGGGGTAAATGAGATTTATGGTCACCTGGTAATTGAGATATTTTTGAGGCATAATAAAAATACATGCATTTTGTAATACGTTGTACCCTGTATTAAAGCAATCTTTTCAAAGAGACACAGTGACTTGCATCTGTGTGGCCACGGGGTGCCGCGTGGGGAGTGTCCCTACACTTACGGAAGGAAAATTAACGCACACGCCCTCCACGGTTACGGGCAGGTTTCTCTTTCCACTTCACTGCCCTGAGAACCAAACCCCGAATCCCAGGTTGGGTCCGTGGCAACAGGAACCTCAGCGCCACTGTCGGGCTGCGTGGACCAAGGCTGGGCCCTGCGTGGGCAGGAATCTGCGCTGGAGCCCACGCGGCGGGTGCCGGCATTTTCTCTCCTCCCTCCAGACATCTGGGGGACTTGAGTGACCGACGCCTCTCCTGGGTGCTGAGGCCCACGTGACACGTCGGTCTCCAGGCCTCCACAGTGGCCGGCATTCGTCCTCGGGAAGGTGTGCGGGTGGCCCACAGCCGTTGGCCAGGTGGGCCTTGACCTCTGGCTTGCATGTCACGCGCCATGGCGGGAACACTCTGGAGGAACCTCCGGAGAGGCCAGGAGGACCGTACACACTTACCCCAGTGTCCCACTGCACCCTCGGGCCGGGGCTCGGCGGAGCGGCCGGGGCAGGGGGAGACTCTGTGAGCCCCGAAGTTCATTGGTTTTAAAAACAAAAACCGTGAGTGCCGGTGAAGCACGGCAAACACGGCAGAGCCGAGCCCGCGGCCGAGGCGCAGCCCCAGCCCCACTCCAGCCTGCCGGAATTCTCTTCCGCGGTTGAGTGCGATTCCGTCACGTCCTCCCCGCGTCTGGGCTGTTCACGTGCTTCTCTCCCGACGGAGGCGCTGGGGACGGGCTGGGCAATGTTCCCTGAGCCTGCCGTCCGCCAGGTTGTCTCCGCACCCTCGGGGTCAGCGCAGAGCCCGGCCGGCGGGAGGGGTGCCGCGTCGTCCTGCGAGCTCCGAGCGCCCGGCGTCACGGGCGGCTCTCATGGCCCCGTTGCGTCCCCTCCCAGCCTCGCACGGGACACGGGGGTGCTGTGGTGCCCCAGGGCAGCAGCCTCCCTGCTAGGTGTCCCCAACACCCCATCCCCAGCCTGGAACCCCAGGTGAGAGGTGGCACTCGGGGGACAGCCCTGAGCATCTGGTCTGACACACAAGCCCGACCCTGTCCCAGCACCAGGGAATTCCCAGGCCTCGCTCCAGGTGCCTGAGGCTGCCTGGCTGCACCCTTGACCCTGTGCTCCTGGCTCTGCGTGTCCGGGTGGCAGCGGGGGTCCCCGGCAGCCCTGGGGCTCCTGCCCCGCCCACACGTTCCCCGTCCTGCTGACCTGACTCCGAATGTCCCGTCCCACCACCCATGCCAGACGCCGGGACCCGGCTGCCCCAGGAGTGAAGAGTCACCTCCCAGCGGAGGTCCCTGCCGCGGCCCTGCCTCAGTTCTCCCTGCTGGGGAGCCCTGTGCCCCCCGACCAGCCCCGTGCCTCCCCAGCCAGCACAGCTCCACGCCCTGGTCACGGCTCCCCACACGCTCACGTGCGGCATGGTCGACGCTGCCCTCCGCAGCCTGTGGGCCTCAAGGCACCACCACAGCGGGGGGACAGGAGGGTCACAGCTCAGGGCCAGTGGCAGGGGCACGATCCCCGCGGGGCTGGGGTCCCTCTGAGCTGGGGCTTCGTCCTGCGTGTGGACACAGGCACAGCCGTCATTTGCCCACTGGGGCCTGTGGACGGCTCTGCCCTGACGGCCACTTTCCGATGGCCAACGCCTGCCTGTGCCGTGTCCATCCTGTGTCCACCGTTCAGGGACACGTGTCGGCTGCGTGCCTGGGCGTGGGATGCCGGGTCCAGCGGCGGCTGTTTGACTGGAGGAGCACACGCTGTCCAGTGGAGCCGCCCGCCCACCTGCCCCGCACACGGCTCCCTCTCCGCACTCGCCGGCCCCCACTTGCCAGCTTCAGCCATGCCAGCGTGCGTGAGGTGGCCCCTCCACGGCAAAGCGACTTGCCCCTCTAAGTGCGGGTTTCTCTGCATTTCCACCTCCCATAAATCACAGACGGGGCCGCCTGCGGCTATGACGCTGCAGACGGGTGGGTGTGGACGGTCCCTCTGGTTCAGTGGGTGATTCTGTCCCATCTCTCCCGGCCAGTGCGCGTGGTCACGCCTCAGCCCGTGCGCTTGCTGGGGCCGACTGTACCTGAACCACCCCCAAGAGAAAGGGAGCTGGGCGCGTTTCCCTGTTGCTCAATTTTTATTCTGAATGAGACACGAGACTTCCACGTGCTCAGACTCACAGGTCTTTATTCTTCTACTGACAAAACCAGACAAAGAATCTGTAAAAGGGAACCATGACATTGATCACAGTCACGGGTCGCGTGGAGTTTGCCGTGGAGGGAGGGGCCGGCGCGGACACGGCTGCACACGCCAACCCCACAGTGCACGTCAAGGGGCTCCGCCCCCCGGCAGGAGCCTCTGGTCACAGTGGCTGTCCCCAGCTATCACCACGCACAGCCAGTACGGACGCTACGCCCTCCCCGGGCTGGGCCCTCGGGGTCACGCACAGGCCCCGCCCAGACGGATGTGGCTCTGGCTGCCACCTGGGACCTGCTCTGGTCAGGGGTCCCTCTGCCGTGACGCCAGCGCTCTGGGCACACGAGCTGGTCTCTGTCCTGACCTCAGGTCTGCGCGGGGAGGGGGGGGGGCCTCGTCCCTAACTACAGAAGCAATGTCTTTGTGGACAACGGGTCACTGCGAAAGCCCCTCCAAGTGTTCAAATAAATAAATATGCCGCAGGGAGAGGAGCCCAGATCACTGCCATGACCTGCAGCGGGGACGCCGTCGTGACCCACAAAGCTGATCGAGGCAAAGTGCAAACAGCGCCAGCGCCTCCATGCAGGCACACGCCCAGGGCAGGGACCTGGGGGCTCGGCCACACAGATGCCGCAGGACCTGCCGTCCCCCTCCCCAGGCAGAGGGGCGGGAACAGCACATCCCGCGCGTGGCTCCGAAAGGCTCGCGTGGAGGACGCTCGGCACTGACTGTGCGTCGCCGCATCCTGTGTCCGGCAGTTACCTGCGCAGGGCCCCGTCAGTGCTTAGGAAGAGGCGGCTGGATTTCCATGGGGCGCGGAGCAGACACGCACACAGTGGGGCTCCTGCCAGGGCACGAGCCGGGAACGGAACACGCCCAGCGACAGGCGACCCGCTGTGTCCCGGAGAGCTGGGCTCCTTCTCCTAAAGGCCACGGCCCGACGTGGACCTGTCGACGAGCCAGGCCGCCGGCCAAGCCAGGGATGCAAGCGTGGACGGGGTCCTTCAGCTCACGGCCTCGACTCGCAGACACACGCGAGGGGCAGAGCAGGAGGCGGATGGATGGAGAAAGCTGCACGGAGCCGCGGCCTCGGCTGGCGTTGCCTTCGTCACCCGAGGGACAGCGTGAGCCAATGTGAGGGACCTTCCGGTCACGCCCTCTCTCAGCCTGTCCTGCGGGGCTGCCTGGGACGGGAAACCCCAGGTGACAGGTCTAGAAACTTCCGGGGGAGGCCCGAGGGGCCGGTCAGGCCGGTGTCGCTGGCTGTGCGTCCGGCGCCTGACCCGTCCAGCGTTAGGAGTAGATGGTGATCACCTCGCGGCCGCCGCCGCGGACCAGCAGGACCCTGTTCAGCCCCTCGGTCAGGACCTCGAGGAACTCCATGTCTGGGCCGCAAGGTTAAGGCCTGGGCGTGTGAGGACGAGATCGTGGCGGGGAGCTGACCCCACCCCTGTTTCGCGAAGACGTAGTTTGAGAACAGGCACAAGAAAGGCCGGGCCAGGAGGCCAGGCCGGGACAAGGCCGACCCCGCCTGACCTCACGCCTGCAGGGCCTGACCAAGGCTCTGACCGGGAGACCTGGGGGACGTCTGCAGCCCACCTGCCCAGGGCCCAGACCCAGCAGGACATGGCGCCCACCTCCACCACGCAGGGCAAGCGGCCACCAGGGCACCGTGGAGTCCTCACCGCGGAAGAGCAAAGCCCTATCGCTCGTGGCCAGTCTGAGCCTCAGAACCCAGGATCCGGCTTCGCACCCCCTCCGCCACCAGGGGACTCGGTGCCTCCCACAAGGGCAGTGAGGGGACGGTGCCCACAGGGGCCCAGAGGGGACCCTTAGCGCACACGCCCCGTCCCAGGGTTGACACGCACATGACTCCCCCACGGGCCACGGGGAAGCGCCACGGTCAGAGCTGGCGAGGTTGGGGCCCCACGGCTGGGCTCAGGGACGCGTCGCCCTGTCTCGGGGCTGGTGCAGTGCCAGGAGGCCTCGCCCGCCGCTCCACGGCAGGAGGTCTGGGTGACACCGTCCCGTGGTGTTCAGGGCACGGCCTCCTCGCTGACCCCTTAGCATCCCGACCCCTGGGGCTCCCCATTCCTTCATCACGGGCTGTCGGCGCAGGCGACACAGCAGGTCTGCGGTTTCCTCACTGCCCATGTCGGTCCACTCTGCCTGCGCCACCCCCGACAGCCGCGCAGTGTACAGAGAGCTGTTCACCCGCGGGCTCCCCGGCACCCCCAGGCCGCGTGTAGTGTCCTCCCTCCAAACGCTGAGGGACCCACCGCACCCAGCTGCTCCCAGGCCACCGCGAGCGTCTGCCGGCTGCAGGGAACCAGGGGCCCCGCTGTTGTGCCACGGCCCCTGGGCAGCGCAGACCCAGGGGTCCCCTCACTGCGCCGACGCCAAGGGCAGCCCTGACTCCGCCCCGCAGCACCCAGAGCCCCGCCTGGCCGAGGAGAGCCAGCCTCGCTCACGGCACCCGTGACCCGGACTGGAGAACACGCACAGCGCGCGTGCACACGCCCCACAGAAAGGATACAGTTCTCGTCGCCTTGCCGGTTCCTGGGGGGCCCCGGCATGTTCAGCAGGACCAGCTGGGCGTCCTGGGACCTGGCGAGGACGACGTCGTTGAGCTTCACGGCCGTGTGCATGCGTCTGACGTTGGACTGGTCCCTGCGGGGAGGCGGATGGCGGTCAGCGGGCTTCGCCCCACGCTCCGGACACGAGGCTGTCCCGAGCCCGGAGCCACCGCTGCGCACACGCGTGTGAGCAAGTCCAGAGTCACACGGACTCACTGCCCGAGGAATCGGAGGCGACTCCATGAGTCACCTGGTGACAGGACACGGGGCGGTTTGTTCACACGGGAGCACCTGGGAACTGACCACGCCCGAAGCACCGAGGTCCAGAGGGACGCGACACGGGCGCTCTCGGGGCCTGCGGGGGAGCCGCGGAGCTCGCTGCAGGCCACTGCCAGGGTCCCCTCCCCGCCTGCCACCCAGCCCCCGTCCCGTCCCCACCGGGGGCCGGGTCTCTGCACCCCACGGAGCGGCAGTGTGAGCGGGTCTCTCCACACTGCGCTCTCGGAAGCCGCACGGCCAGCCGCGTCACCCCGGGGAGGTCCCTGCCCAAGCGCATCTGGGGACACGGCAGACTCGGCTGACAGCACTGCAGGACCCGGCGCCCAAGGACAGAGGCCGCGGCTCCTCCTCCACCCGCTGACCCCTCACCAGGGAGGCCTGTGACGACCGCTGGCAGCCCGGCAGCCCTCGCGGTTCCGTCAGCACCGACACCGGCACCTGTGCTGACCTCGGTCAAAGTGGATCGGGGTCTGACCGCGGCCCCCAAGGGAGGTCACCTGTGCCCTGGACGGAGGGACGGGCGGGCAGATGGATGGGGCCGGCCCACCCAGGGTCGGGGAAAGGCCCTCGGATGCCCGGCTCACACCCTGTGATCAATGTGACCCTCAAGCCAAACAAACCCGAGCGTAACCACCAGTTTCCAGGAGAAAACAGGGAAACGGCCCTTTCTGTTCCCTCCAATTTAGTCTGATGGAATTACAGACGGGGTCTCTGCGTGGCACAGTCAGGCGGCAATTGCCAGCGTGTCCGGGACAAACAGCAGTTCCAGAGATTAAAGGGTCTGTTAGGGTCAGGAGACGGCTTGAAAACCACACGTAACTCTGAAGTCAGAGTTTGGGTCCGGAAGGGTTTGGGCTCCAGGGCGCCGGGCCCTGTGCAGTCGGGGTCACGGCAGGGACCGAGGGAGCCTGGTGCTTCCAGGAAGTGAATAAAACCTGCGCTTGCTCCCAGCAGCCCGGCTGCGAGCCGGCAAAACAAGAGACATATGATAAACACGGCTCATCCGCGGGGAAGGGCTGCCGGGCAACGCGGGGTGAAGAGCGACGGTCCCTCGGTGCCGGGCAGAGCCGCCGCCCAAGACAGACACAGTGGTCATGGGCAGAGCCGCCGCCCAAGACAGACACGGTGGTCACGTCTACAGCACGTACACCAAGATGCATGCATAGACACGCATGCCACCGTGTGCAGACACATGCAAACATGCAGACACGCACTAATACGCAGACACGCTCACATATACACACACAGGTATGTATACACACAGGCACACACGCACACCGACACACAAGCATGCACACAAACACCCCTAAGCGTGCTCCTAGGGACGCCAAGCTCGGCCACCTGGACTGACCAGGAGGGGGCGGGGCCGGACGTCCACACCTGCTGGAGGCTGCGCCGCCCAACCGTGAGGGACGCCAGACCACCGGGCCCCCGCGTCGTCCAGTCTGTTTCCTGATCACAGCCCTGCGGGACCCTCCCACGCGAGGCGAGCCCACGTGCCGGAGGGTACTTGGCGCCTGGTGCGAGTCCTTACGTGTGTGTGTGTGTGTGTGTGCGCGTGTGTGTGTGCGCGCGTGAGCACGTGGGAGGCGGGCTCAAACCCAACTTCTGTGTCTACGAGGTGTTTCGGTCTTGTTTTAATTAATACGCCATCCTGGGTGCCCTTTGGGTTCATGGAGAAACGGCAGGAAGTGCAGAGGGGCCTGCGCGTCCACAGGTGTGAGCCCCCGACCAGTTCTCGTCCGGGCCCCGTTCTGATCAACTAGGGTTTGGGGCTCGGGCGTAACCACGCGCAGCTGTCCCCAGACACACTTGGGCAGGGACCTCCCCGGGGTGGTCTCCAGGGACACTGAGACGCGGGCTGGCCGTGCAGCTTCGGAGAGCGCAGCCTGCCCAGGAGGGCAGACGCCGCCCGGGTTAGGGGCTGGGGGACCCCCGGCCTGGCCCCAGCCTGGAGCTCAGACGCGGGCAGGTGCCCCGACCCCGACCACAGGACGTGAAGGCAGCAGCCCTCTGGGGCGAGCGGGTCACACGAAAGGCAGCACGTGCTGGGACATGCTCCTGAGCCGAGCGCCCTGGCCTGCAGGGACGGGGACGGAGCCGCTGACCATGCCGGCACGCGCCTCCCCCTCCCAGGCCGCGGCTCGTGGGCGTCACTGAGAGGAGGGATCGCGGGTGGTGCCCTGAGCCGCCAGAGCATTGGGGACGGCAAGTTCAACAGGAAACCGGAACGGAAGCCACAGCAGCGTCCAGCACACTCTGCCCACACGTGAACACGCACACGGGCCGGGTGTGCACACGCCATGAGCAGCGCTGCTAAACACGCCCAGGCACACGCGGGCCACACACAAAAGCATGCAAGGCCACCAGGCCTGGGATGCAGCCCAGACGGAGCGAGCAGACTTACAGGTGTCCCCACTCTCTACGCGGGCGAGAGAAACACAAGAAAGGTTACTTCAGGAGTGAACGCGCACGGTACACGGCTCAGAACAGTCGCAGGCGTGCCCCGGGCGGCCCTGTCAGTGGCGGGGTGGCTGGCCTTGGCCTCCGAGGCGTCCTCCCCTTCCTGAGAACTCAGGGCTTTGCGGCTCAGCTCCCCTCGAGAGGCCCCGGTGCAGACGTGGCCCTCTCACCCTGGGACCCGGGGCCAGCACACCGCTCCCCGCCGGTTCCGCTGCAGCCCACGGGGCCTCCGCCGCCCCTGGCAGGTCTCAGAGCAATGCCGGCGGGGAGGACGGGTAGCCAGGGACAGGCCCCGGGCCCGACAGGCAGCCTGACAGTCGCAGAGCAGACCTCCTTGTCCACAGCCGTGAGACCCACCGACGTGGACCGCAGCCTGGGCTCCACGCTGCCCTCGGCACACTCCCGGTTCTCTCACAGGCCCGCCGGTCTGTGGGTTTGGCCCTGAAGCTCTCTGGTGGGCAGCGGGGAGCCTGTCCCCATGGTTGGGTCAGTTCAGCCAGGACCTGTCCCCCCAGGGCCACACGTGCGGGGACACTTACGGCTTCAGGGTGAAGAGGTCTTTGAATCCAGACACGCTGGCGTCTCTGTGCTTGTGCCTCTCGGCGATGAGCTTCTCCCTCGTCCAGGTCATCTGCACCTTGTCTGGCGTGGACGGGGCCTGGGTCCTGGCGGCCGCGGCGGCATGAGACGCGGTGTTCCTGTCGTGGATTAGCTGGGCCTAGGGAGAAGCAGGGGCAGCCACGGACTCAGTGTGACCATGAGGTACGGGAGAGACGCCAGGCTGGCCGCGGAACCAACGGGCCGCAAACACCTGCCCCGGGCCCCCCGCAGCGCCCACGTCCTCACTAGGGTCTGCGGGGACCTCCCCGGCTGTGGCGGGAAGGGGCGGGCGAGGATGCTGACTGCTGCGCTGACCGCAGCTGGACCCCGCAGAGGTGGCCGGGCCCTTCATACCGCCGCTTCCACCCGTGATGACGCATGGGAACCCGCGGCACCAGGCCACGCTCACAGCACACGCCCCGCACGGGGCCAGGCCTGGCTGGGGAGGCCCCGCAGGCGGCCACAGGAGAGTGGAGGCGCCTCGTGGCAGGCGCCCCACGGGATTCCTTGAGTGGCCACAGGGTCCCCTCCTGCCACGTGTCCAAACTGCCCGGCCCAGCGACCTCGCAGCTGGCCTGGTGTCAGTCTCCTGTGGCCTCGAACTGGGAAACCAGAGCCTGGGGGCGGGCGTGGCGCAGCCCCCGCGTCCCTGAGGGCTCCCCAGGTCTGACCCGCCAGGAGGGGCCCTGTGAGCTTGTCCTTCGGCTCCTTCCAGCTCACAGTCCCTCCTGGGTCCGAGTGGTGACCCTGCTCGCCACACGTCCCGTTTAACCTGGCGTGGACTTCCTCCTGGGGGCCCAAAGCCCAGGGCAACCGGCCGGCCGCCGGGGACGCAGCCGCACACAAACAGGGCCCTGCACCCTCCAGGCTCTCCTGGGGCCCGGCTGCCCCGGCTGCGTGGAAGGGACCTGTCCCCTCACCGGGCGTCCTCCCTGGGTCCCGGGAGGGTCTGTGGCATCTGTGCCCACCCAGACTCCCGGCCTGGCGGTGGCCAGTGCTACGATCCCACACGCCTCCCATGCCGGTCAGCGATCCCGGCCGTTGGCCACACGGCCCCACGTGCTGCCGTTCCTCGGGGTCGGCGAGGACCAAGGAGGGGGCGTCTCGTGTCCCGCAGGCTGCTGTCACCATCCTCACAGAACTTCATCACGTCCGCCTGACACGCCAACGCAGACCCGCGTGTGCCACCCCAGACAGGCATGACCCGAAGGCTGCATGAGACTGTGAGCGGGCAGAGGTGCCAGCCCTGTGCCCGGCCACTCGTGCCTTCCCCACGTGCCAGCCCTCGTGGTCACCTGCGGCCGAGGACGGGCCAGTGTGGCGGACGGACACGTCCGCGCTTCCTCAGACCAAGCCGCACAATGAGCACACAGCCGTCTGCGGAGCCGGAGCTGCTTGTTGCTCAGCTGCAACTGCTTCTGGTATGTGCCTATGCGTGTCTGCGTGTGTTTGCATATACCTGCGTGTCTGCATACATGTGTGCACCTGTATGTGCCTGCGTGTCTGTGTGCCTGCACGTGTGCGTGTGTACCTGCATGTGCCTGTGTCTGCGTGTGTCTGCATGTGTCTATGTCTGCATGCATGTGTGCACCTGCATATGCCTGCATGTGTGTGCCTGTGTCTGCGTGCATGTGTGTACCTGCACAGGCCTTTGTGTCTGCGTGCATGTGTGTGTATGTGTACGTGTCTGCATGTGCCTGTGTGTACCCGCAAGTGCTTGCGTGTCCGTATGTGCCTGCATGTGTGCATGTCTGTGTGTGCCTGTCTGCGTGCATGTGTACCTGCATGTGCCTGCGTGCCTGCATGCGTGTACCTGCAAGTGCCTGCACATCTGTGTGCCTGCATGTGTGCGTGTCTGCATGTGCCTGTGTCTGCACGTCTTTGCATGTGCCTGTATGTCTGCGTGTACCTGTGTCTGCGTTTCTGTGTCTGCATGTGTCCGTGTCTGCCTGTCTGCATGTGTCTGTGTGTCTGCACGTGCCTGTGTATGTCTGCGTGTGTCTGCATGTGCCTGCATGTCTGCATGTGTGTCTGCATGTTTGCATGCCTGTGTCTGCATGTGCCTGTGTGTATGCATGTGCCTGCGTATGTCTGCGTGTCTGTGTGTTTGCATGTGCCTGAGTGTCTGCATGTGTCTGTGTGTGCCTGTCTGCATGTGCCTGCATGTGCTTGCCTATGTCTGCATGTCTGTGTGTACCTGCGTGTGCCTGCATGTCTGCATGTATGGAGAGGCAGCCGGTGCCATTCTCCCCCATCCCCCAAACATGCCCTCCCCTCCCGCGTGTTCAGACTGGCAGCCTGCGTGTCGGGGTGGGTCTCCAGGGCTGGGGCCCCACCTCTCTCTCGCGCTCGGTCTTGGACAGCTGCATCTGCTTCAGCATCTGCGACCGCTGCTCCATCATCAGCGTCTTCTCGTAGGTGAACGCGGAGATGTCGTTTTCAACCTAGAAAGTTCCAAAGCGCAGAAGTAAACACAATGTGCGTGAAAAACCACACGTCGCCACCGAACGTCCCGTTGTTCCTGGAATCGGCAGGCCCTGAACGGCGTGAGTGCCTGCGTGGCCCCGGCCCTCCAGACCTCGCTCCTCTGTGCGCCAACCTGGCCATGGGTGCCGGGCTCTGGAGCAAACAAGCCCCACGCAGGCACCACTCGCCGCTGCCAGGACCATGGGCCGGGGCCGCTGCACGCCCGGTCTCCTGGTGGGGAGAGCTCCTCCAGGCAGCGCCTCCTTTTATAACTTGGAAATAACGTTATTCGTGCGACTACTGAAGCCAGTAGCGCCCACAGAGCGAGTCCACAGTGGGGCCCCGTAAGCAAAAGCGACACGTGACCCTGTAACCTTGCGATGGCAGGGGCTGCCCAAACGAGTCCCGAATCCAGACGTCACAGCAGAGACAGCCGCGTGGAACCAGTGTCGGAGCAGACACGGGCCAAGCACGACGCGAGGCAGAGAGAGACCCGGCGGGTGGCGAGGGCTGCGCCTCCGTCCGCACAGAGCTCCACGGCCAGGCCCAGCTGCGCGCCGTGGTCCCAGGGCTCTGGGCGGCCCCCGCAGGGATCTCCGGAGCCCGGGAGTTCCAGGCTGCGGGGAGGTGTCATCGCACCACGGCACTCCAGCCCAGGCCGCAGGGCGAGACCCCGTCTCCAAAAAAAATTTAAAAACAACAAAAAAATAAAAAGCCCCCCGATTAAGAGGGGAAAAAAAATTACCCTGCAACACAACCAAGGTTCACAGGCCCCACATGAACACAAAATGTCATCGATGACGCAGGACGCCGCCCAAGCTCACGCGTGACTCAAGCGCTGTGGAGGCGAGCTGGCGGCGGGGCTGGCGCACCTCCCCCGTGGCGCTGGGGGCACCTTTCTGGGGTACAATCGGCAGTCTCCAGCCAGCGTCACGTCTTCCCAGCAACTCCACCCCGGGAGCCCAAGCCACCGACAGCCTGTCTGGGGACACAGCCAGGCGATGCTCACGGGCTCCGTGCGCATACACGGAACCAGGAACAGGAAGCTGCGCTGCCAAGGGACGAAGTCAGAGGGCGACTGGGAGTGAAATGGACGCGCGTGGCCACGCGGGCTGTCAGAGCAGCGGGGAGAGCCGGGACAGGCCTCGCTGCCGCGCCCAGTAGGCCCACGTCGCACGCCGGGTGCAGGGCCCTCACCCGCCTGCCGTGCTGCGGCTTCCAAGTGAGCCCGCGTCACGTTTGCGGTAACGGTAACTGCGTCAGACGCCCACGGTCCCAGGGACAGACGAAGTCACGGCCCGGAGCAGGCAGGCTGGGGCCCGGCTCCGTCCACCACGAGGGGCCACGGGCCACGCGGACCCCAGGGTCCAGACTCCCGCCTTCCGCCTTGTTCCCTCAAAGCCTGTGGGACGCGGCGAATCGCCACCTGGGCCCTGACGCAGCGTGACCCGCGCACGGTCTGCCTGTCTACTCTGGCCACGTGGCCCGAGCCCACTGTGGTCGGGACCTTCGCCCGGCCCGTGGCTGGACGTGTGGGCCGTTTCTAGTGGTGCGTCGAGAGCCCCTCTGGGGCAAGAGGCCTGGGCGGCTGCCGCCCGCGCCAACCCCCGGCTCACCATCTCCACCACCTCCACTTCGGCGCTGATGCGCAGGTGGTACAGGAGCGTCTGCAGGTCCCTCTTCATCTGGATGCTGTTGTCGTCCACCTGCGCCACCGTGAAGATGCGCATCCGGCACTTCCGCCACACCTGGGGAGCAGGCAGCCGCTCAGCCTCGGGGCGCCGCCGCCGCGGCCCTCCCTGCCCCCCGCGGGCCCACCTTGTGCTGCCGCAGCAGGAAGGGCAGCAGCATGAGCATGCCGCCGTCGTGCACGATCCACCACACGTCGATGTTCCCGCCGCCGAAGCGCTCCTGGTTTTGCGGAAACAAGTCCACGTTTTTGGCCACCAGCAGGGCCTGATGCGCCGCGGTGGTGTCACGGACGGTGTCTGTGGAGAGAGGCCACCACAGGCAGGGAGAGTTGGGGCCTCGAGTGAACCGTGGACCTCGCGGGGGCCCTCCCCTGCGGGCCGTGCCTGGACGCCAGCCAACGCGGGAGGCGGCCGCGGGCAGGGTCCCCACCCTCCCCTCATCGGCCTCTCGCTGCCCAGCTGAGGGCACACAGGGCCGGGCTGCAGACCACGCTCCCGGGGAGCCGCCGGACACGGGCAGGGCTCGGGAGGGGAGAAGCCGGGGCCGCGCCGGCCACACCTACCCACGAAGTTCTTCCAAGAGAAAGGGTTGTCCTCCTGCTTCCAGGACTCCGGCCAGGCCATGAGCACCGTGTTGTGCTTCATGGCCCCCAGGCCGGCCGACTGGATCAGGTGGGACGTGCCGTCCCGCAGGTTGGAGGAGACGACCAGCTGGGAGAAGCCTTTGGTCTTCTCCACGCCCATCAGAGACCGGATGTTCTGCAGGAGACAGGGCAGGGTTGGCGCGGCGCCCCCAGGAGCCGGCGCAGAGGGCGCCCCCGACACCGCAGCCTCCCACGGGAAGTGCGTGCTGGGGCGCCCCGAGCCATGGCGTGTGTGCGCACACATGTGTGCCAGAGAGACACAGACAGCGGGGTGCACCTGACACCATGTGCAGGTGACGAGGAGGCAACGAGGGCAGGTGGTTCTCCGAAGTGATCCCCGCCGTCACGAACCACCCCGCCGTGCGTGGACGTTTTGGACCCCGTGCTGCACATCGGGGACACTCTTCTGAGGACTGTGGCGTTTCACGGGGTCCCAGAATGAAATACCAGACACACGACAGACCCACACCAGACGCCACCGCTGCCCACGCCTGGTTTCTGCCCTTCCCAGTCCTCTTGCTGATGGGGGCAGCTGGACATGCATGACCAAGACCAGCCCCGTTGAGGCAATGGTGCGTGTGGATGCTGGTCTCCTGTCCCTGCCACTCCGACCCTCGGGCTCTGGCTCCTGGGTCCCCTGGGGCAGAACCTCGGGCCAGAGTGTTCTGGCCGTGGCACCCCGTGGACTGCCCTGCTGGCTTCAACACATGTGGGACAGGGCCCCTCTGAGCTCTGATTGCTCCCTTTGGGGGCAAAGTCCCACCTTTGCATTTGGAAAACTGGTTTCCTACGTCTCAAGGTCTGTGGACAGAGGATCTTGCCCAGGGTGGACCAGACCCAAAGTCTCACCTGTCCCATCTGCCTCACCTATGTCACCTGTGTGACCTGTGTCACCTGTCCTGTCCAGTACCCGAGCTGGAAGACTGAAAGCGTGAGATTTGGCACCTGTGATCTGAGGACACTGGGTGAGACTTTAGACTCAGGGCTGGAGCCGTAACGGGTCGAAAGTTCACAAGACGCCGGGATGGGGTGAGTGTGACCCGCGTGTACAGCAGACGTGAATTTGGGACTGCAGTGCGCTGAATCGTGGCCCCCAAACGACACGTCTGAGTCCTAATCCCAGGAAGCTGTGAACGTGACCTCGTTTGGAGAAAACGTCTTGCAGCCACGATTAAGAACCTTGTAATTATGTCACGATCCTAGGAGACCATCCCAGATCACTGAGGTGAGGCGTCCTTATTGGGGAAAGGCAGGGAACTGAGGCAGAGCAGAGCGATGGCCACGGGAAGATGGAGGCAGAAATGGCCTCGGCCCGGGGCGCCTGGAGCTGCCAGAGCTGGAGGCAGAAGGACCCTCCCACGGCCCTGCCCACCCGGACCTAACTGCGGGCGTCAGAGCTGCCCGGACGTGGCACATGGCCCCGGGCGATCTCTGGCGTGGAGGACTCAGTAGAACCGCCCCACTGCCGAGAGCCCAGCTGCCCCCAGGCCAGCCCAGCCCAGCGGGCAGCACCCTGCACCCAGCTCACCCAGGCACCACAGCCCCTAACGCACACTTCGACCAGACTCGACCTCCTCCGCAACCCTCCTTTCCCTCAGGGAAAGAGAAGGGCCCGCACGTCCCGTCGTCCCTGAATAAGCGGAACCTCGGGGCAGCCGGAGACACTGGTGGTCCCCTCGGAGCAGCCAGAGAGGCTGGTGGTCCAAGCCCACCAGACCCGGGCTCCAGGCCGCGGGGGCCCAGCCCTGCCTGAGCAGTCGCGCCTGCACCAGCCTCTGGGTGTGGACGGGAGCGCGTGCCGCAGGACACTGGACTCACTGGGGAGACCCAGGTGTGGGTGGCTGGGGGAGAAAGCAGCCGGCTCCTTCCCAGCGTGGCGCAGGGGCAGCCTGAGGTCTCAGCCCCGGAGCACCCAGTGGGCAGAAATGGGGCACGCGGGCCTCGCACGACCGCGCAGCGGTCTCAGATGGCAGGAGGAGGCCCAGCACACAGCAGGGCCGCTGTAGCGGGCTTCAGACAGAGCTGGGGGCTCCTCCAAGGTCCCCTCTTGGAAGGGTCACGGCCCTCGGTGCCGCAGTTCCACGGCCTCCCGGGTGCGGCTGGCGCTGCCCGAGGCCTTGGCGCACTGCACACGGGGCTTCTTTGGAGGGTCCTCTCTCCCGCTCACCCCAAACCCACGGAAACAAATGATAATGCCACACGCGAGACTGTGTCTGGACACTGAGACAGACGCCGGCTGGCGAGCCCTCGCTGCGCAGCCGCCCAGGCCCCGCCCACCCACCTCCTCCGCCCGCTGCGCCTCTGCGTGCTTGTCCAGGTAGGTCCCCTCCAGCACCGAGCCCACGATGGTCAGGCCCTTGCCGGCCTTCAGCTGCGATGTGAAGGACAGCAGGCGTGGGTGCTTCACACGCTGCTCGGCGTCCAGGTTCAGCAGCACCAGCACCTGCGGCCTGTGGCAGGGACAGGGCGGGATGCTGTCACCACGGGCAGGACAGGTCATACAGGTGTCACAGATAAGACAGGTGGGACAGGAGAGACTGATGCGACAGGTCAGGTCACAAAGGTGAGGTAGCTCATACAGGTGACACAGATGACACAGGTAAGATAGGTGGGGCAGGTCAGACAGGACAAGTGAGATAGATCATACAAGTGACATAGGTCACACAGGAGACACAGATCACATAAGAGGTGGGACAGGTGAGATAGGTGAGGTAGGTCACACATAGCTGAGATAGGTCACATAGGTAAGAGGTGGGACGGGTGAAAGGTGAGATAAGTCACACAAATGAGGTAGATCACACAGGTGAGATAGGTCATACAGGTGACACAGGTCACACAGGTAAAAGGTGGGACAGGTGAGACAGATAAGAGACAGGACAAGTGAGACAGGACAGGTGGCAGGCAGTACAGGTGGGACAGGGGACAAAGGTGGGACAGGCAAAACCACCACGCGGACTTGTGCCTGTGCCTCCCTGCTGGGCACCCTGCGCTCCGGGCAGGCAAGGCCTCCATGGGTGAAGCCCTCCTGCTCCCCACGACAGGGCTGCGAGGACACAGTGTCCAGCTGTGACGTCCTCGCCCTACGGCAGGACGCGCACTGTCTCCAAGGCCACCAGGGCCCTGGGACCGGCCTCAGCGATTTACCCGGAGATCTCGCTCTAGGACGTCACCTGGACCGCGGCCAGAAGCCTGAGAGAGACGGGGACAGGGCGCTCCGGCGAAACGGGCTCTCTGGCGCGGTCGAGGGTTGGGGGCCCCGGGCAGCACTCACCTCCAGTTCTTGGTGTGGGGGGGCCCGTGCTCCACGCGCAGCAGGGCATAGCGGGCGGCGTTCAGCGACAGGCCCCGGATGCCGTCACCCCACTCCTTCTCAGCCCTGCGGAGAAAGGGGTGCGTCCAGCTAGGCGCCCAGTAGGGCCACTGCAGTGGGGCCCGTGGGCAGATCCCAGAGCAGGGAGGGGCCCGACGTGGGGGCCTGGCCCCGCGAGGACCTGAGGGCCGGCGGGGCGGAGCACACCCCACGGGGCAGCAGACCCAGCCCCACCCACTGCCCACCCAAGCAAGGCCAGGAGGGGATGGCGGGCCAGACTCGGGGCCTCCCCCAGGCCGTCGTCAGCAGCGGACGCTCTCCCGGGCCGTGCCTCTAGAGGGACAAGGGACACTCCGCGTACGAGAGGAACCCTCCTGGGGTCAGAGGGCAGAGGCCGTGACACGGGGCTGCACCCTGGCATGGAGAGGCGTGTGTGCGGGAGAGAGGGCATGGTGGGTGCTGGGAGGGACAAGCGTGGCTGTCCTCGCGAGGACGGCACTGACGCCGAGCTCTGAGGCCAGAAGCCCCGCCTCTGCCACGCGCAGGTGCGAGGCCCGGCTGGGAACCGGGCTGGCGGCAGCTAGCGGCTCACCCGCGGTACTCGATGTACTTGTAGATGCAGCCGGCGACGAGCATGGCGAACAGCGCGTAGTACCAGGAGCAGACGAACATCAGCGCCAGGCACAGGCTCATGCCCAGGAAGGACAGCGTCCTGGGGGACAGCGGGCTCAGGGGCGCCTGGCCGACCCGCACCTGAGCGCCCCGCAGCACCCTCCAGGTCACCCCAGGCAAAGGGGCCTTGATGCCACAGCCCAGCCACCGGCAGTGGTGGCCGCGGCTCCAGCAGCGCAGGACACCCCCAAAGCTGCCCCACCCAGGCGCACTCACACGGAAGCTGTGCCCACGGCCACCAGGCTGCAGCCATCCCTGAGTGCCAGCCCACAGGAGGGGCACAGAGAAAACCCCAGACCCCAGGTCCTGCACGTCCAGCCAGTGGGTGGGGGCCAGGCTGGCCGCAAGCGCGGCCCAAGAGGCCAACGTGGATGTCTGGACGTCCGGGACGCCACGACCTTTACGGCAGCGACCAAAGGCCCAGGCCTAACCGGCTTCCCTGGGGCTTGATCCAGAAAAGCAGTTAAGGACCCGTCGGGCTCCCGCAGGTCACCGCAGCCGGGGGCCTCACCAGTGGTAGTACTTGAAGCGCGGGCGCCAGTTGGGAGTGCGCAGCAGGGTCTGCACGGCGCAGGCCAGGTTCACGAACATGTAGCACATGAGGAAGAACCTGCGGCAGGACGCAGGGC